TGTGATCCATATTTTTTATCCTTATCATTGCTATATTTAATATAATTTTATTCCTATCATATGTCGACCAATAGAAAGCACACCGTAGMAATCTCAATTGTTAGAGTTGAACATGTATTTTTTGAAATTTTTTGTACTGGACTATTTTGATCACTAGAGATCCTTGCCACCAGAAGTCTTTAAAGAATGGCARTATCCAATCTATGTCTAACACCTGACAGTATTCGAAATTTCGAAAAAAAAAAAATCAAGCTGTCGAATTTTGACAGATGACATCATTGACCTATATTGTTTTGAAACTCCGTTGAAGAAACCAACGGTGAGGGCGTACATCTGTATCATTCATTCTCACAAATTATTCAAATGTAAATGTACTACACGCGTACATATATACACAATCAATCGATAATTTTAGTGAAAGCATTTCTTCTAATGTCCATCAAATTCTCGGCAATCTCGTGCATGAAATTGTGATGTAAGGGCTGTGTAGGGATTTTCTTGGTTATGCTTTGAGATTATATACTTGTATGTACATAATGTACATATGTAGCATTGTCAGGGCAATACATATGCTTAAGAACATAGTTTGGATGGTGCTGTTACTATTTATTCAGGTCACATGCATACAAACAATGCTAACAACTTCTCACTTTCGGGCAGTTAAGTATACATGGGAGGCTGTGCGGATTAGGCAGTTTTGTGTTGTTGCTCCTTCCCTTACTTCTTCTATGTATGCAACTTTACTAAGGTCTATGATGAAAGTCATAATTGAGTAAGGGGCAAAGCGTAGCGAATAACTTTTTGTTACTTAAAAGGTAAATACATATTTATTAAAGAGTATATAATTAGCGTGTTCTTTGGAGTTAGGTTTTGGCGAATCTGACTACTCTTTTGACCCACTTAGGGCGGCTACAGATTCGGATTACTTTCACTGCCGAAAGAATATCCATATATTATATGTATACATGTATGTATGCGTATGTATACAGAGGTGCTGAAGTAGGCCACGAATGCTGCGAATTTATTAATGCGAGAGAGCAAAAATTATGAAATCATTGTGCAAATTATAGTTTATGATTTTGTTAAGTTTGCTAGTGTTGTTTGAAGCCTTAAAATAAAACGAGAGACATTTCATAAATTCACAAAACGCTACTAGTAAGTGAAATAGATGTTTTAGGTAATTTAATTTCATACAAACGAAAACCTAACACCGACTCAGTTTGCAAAACTAGACATTGTGTGGTCATCAGCTGGTAATTGTGGAAAACAAAAGCAAAATGGGGGAGAAAGTGTCTGATAACGCCCTAAGAGTGCATMAATATGCCGCCCAGCCTCTCGATTGAAAATTTGTGGCCAAATAGAAAAAAGGAAGTCGCTAAAATATAAAAAAGCTTTGAAAGGCTATAAAGCAACTTGTGGCTCAATTCTCCCCCAAGAAAATAACAAAAACTATTTGGAATTATTTAACTTAGAAGATGCCATGAAATATCTCTTGGCCTGAATTTTTTTATGAATTGTATATAATTTTTTATTTATATATTATATTTCAGCCATTGCTAATTATGTAAGATAAAGGATATATTTTCGAAACAATTAAGTCGCTTTTATTAGATTTTCCTTCATTATCCATGAAKCCAATTTGCACTTCTATTATTTTGATAACAGCTGTACATATGCCAGGTTAATAATTTTTCTGTGCTGCAAATATTGACAGACAATGTTAATAAACATTATATAAATAATACTTAATGTATTAAAATTAATAAATAATCTTTGGCTGCACCAATCGGTCATCAATTCATTCAACAAATGTTTGCTTGAATAGAGGTCTTCATTCACCATACTGTAATTTTATATTGCATACTTTCAGGCTGTACACATTTCTTGGCAACATGTTGTTGACATGTTCGCAGCTGACTTCATTGGTAATATCTGAGCTTCACAGTGGTACTAATCATTAAACTCACATAAATAGCAGATGGAAATGATTTCTTATTTAATGACTTTCAAATAAAATGTAGGCTTCCGAGGTTACCTTTCTGCCAAATCTACTCTCCTCCCCAAAAGGCGTTTCGAAACAATGTAGTGAACAGTCCAGACAGCGAAATAAGGAATAACTATAGGACGTGATTAAATAAATTATATAGCAAAAAGGCTCTTCCGCATTYGGTAATTTCTATTGTCATTTTGATCAGCTCGTTCACTTCAGTAATGGATTATAACTAAATTTTTTAATATCGAATCTGATAGTAGTAGTTTCACTGAAACTCCCCTAATTTAAGCGGACATTAAAATCTCCASAGTAATTAATAATTTATGTGTGAATATAACAGTTATGGATATATTATGCGAACTTCAGACAATCAAGACAAAGCAACCACTGCAAAGACAGGGATGACTAAATTTGTGTGGACCCTTTACTTGTTCGCAATGGACCTTTGTACGAAAATGTATAGAGGATGCTTTCAGCTTTGACCCTAAGTTTTATCAATTAGAATCGATGGATTTAGGATTTACAAAATCTATTGAATCTATTTTCAGGCTCGCGATTTATTAAATTTTAATAATTTATTTAAATTAAAATTCTTCTCCTGACAAGCTKAAAAAAGGCAAACAAAAAAGTAAGTGAATGACTCTTCTATACCAAATAAAACTGAGGACTAAGGGCAATGGGAATGATAAAAGTTCTGAGCGTACAATTTCTAAATTTAAGTATGATTTATATATATATATATTTTTTYGCTTAAAATGCCAATACCCTGAAACAAAGTAGCAGAATGAATAACGAAAAATAAAAATAAACAAAACAAAAAGTTTACGGCACTGCAAAATCTGCTTCAATCAAATTCTACTTAAAAGCTCTGCAACACAAACGACACGAGCAGAAGTGAGGCAGTCACTAGAGCATTCCTSAGACTAGTATTCTATTCGGTTAGTATTTGAGATGGAATGACTCAAATACACATTGGTGGTCGGTGCGAAGCGCCAAATACTCACACACATGCACATATTCTTTTAATAATATTTTAAGTGAAACAATAACAAAGGTCCTCCTTGCTACTCACCGCAGCAGCAGGTAGTCGAAGACAAATGAACGCGACATTTTCCTGTCCCAAATTTATGTAAATGTAGGTGTGACGTGTTTCCTATTTAGCCAATGTTGCAAGTAAACGTAAATTGGTTGCCTGTGGCACGCGGATTGCGTGGCTGAGGCCGCCAACCTTGATGTTGATTTATTGGCGTTGTTGCTGTGCCGACGATGGCTGATCACTTAATTGCTGTCATCAACTACAAGTGCTTATTGTACGCTTGTATAAGACGCCAAGCAAAACTTACAACAACAACAAGTGCAGTGTCAGCAAACGGGCGAAATGCTCATTTCGAATGAGCATGAGAGTTCCCATCAGCGGCATCAGTCCTTCTACGGTTCGTTTCTATTTAAAAAGCCATACAGTGCAGCTCACTCGCCGGCAAGCGAAAATCGCAAGTATGCGCAGGCAATCGCTGCCGGCATTTAGAATTTGCATTGATCGCATTTTCTCCGAGTACACTCTCTCTTCCTCCGTGCATCATCCGACTTAGCGATTAGTGCTATTGTTGTTGCTGTTGCACTGTTACTTGCGTTAATTAGCCACAGATTCGTTGTTTGCGCTGAATACTTTKGCTGTTGTTTTGATTCTTCAGCTTTTTAATAGCCCGGTGATCTTATCGATTAGACGAATGCTGTCGGAAGTGTTTGGGGTTCGGTGAAAAATCGCCAAGTATTTTGAGTTTGCTTGCATTTAAGCAAGTGAGAATGCTTGAGTAACTGCAAGCAGTTCCATTTCCATTTGCGTGTTTACACTTACTCAGCTGATATATTTGTCGATGATTGCCTATCGAGCTAAAGTGGAAACGTCCTCAATTTACATATATTTGTGTTGTGGTAACGCATACTCACGCACTTCAAACAAATACAAGGGAAGRTACATTCTTTTATAAACGGTATTTRTACTGATGGTCATTGACACATCGATTTCTCTTAATTTACTTATATTTTCCTTGACCTTTACCAAAATCAGACATCATTCTTATCCCCTAGTGGGAGATATATTTCGATCTCTTGAAAATTTCATATCTTTGTAAGGTATACTCATATTAGTTTTAACAAATAAATAGTATGATTTTCAATGGACCCTTCATTCATGGAATCAAACTTTCCCATAAAATTAAAAACTTTTAAGATATAACGTAGTGAGTACAAAGCCTACTAGACCTCTAGTGATTCATTAGTGACCAAAAGGACTTTCCGAGATTATATGACTCTTCAATGCTCGCTGAACTTTCATGAGGTCCTGCTAGGTAACAAAAGTTTCACACGCTCTCCCTCACGAACTCGCCTCTCCTTTAGGAACAGTTGATAAAGATTTCGCGAGTGTAGAGACAGTYCACCGGAGAAAACTAAATCAGGACTCTCAAATAACTCATTACACATATTTAGCTCAAGTGAAAAGCCTCAAGCCGTATGAGTAACCCCAGCCGATTGCTGGGAACCACAAACATAAGARTTTTTCGCCACCTAAAAAATTCACACGGCTTATATGGAATGAGCGGTGAACCATTACAAAGCACCACACTATTTCGAACACCAACACCAGCACACAGTTGGTACAAAGATTTTCTGCATCTCTAATCATTGCGATAAACTCACCAACACAAGCATGGGCCTTCGTCGATTTAATTACAATTGCATTTGACCGAAAATTTCGCTGTTTGTTTGGTTGTTTGTGGCATAATAAATCAACAGGGCGCTATGCTAGTATACCCTTTGTGTGGCGTTTGTGTACGTCTGTGTGTTGGTTTATTCATTTTGATTATTTTAGAATTTTTGTCATGGTGGCTGCGTTTCGTTACCATCCATTCCGTTGACGAGAAGAATGCAAGAATTTTTGCCTTAAATTGCCATGCAATTTTTTTCGCAATCAACCTCAGCAGTGGTGATATAAAGGCACTGCGCCGGGATCGTCATTCCATTTGTTGTTGAGTTAGGGCGCCAACGAGGACCCACACGAGCAGATTCTATAAAAAATCGAGTTCACACATAACACAAAGTTCGATTTCCATTCGATTGTTGGCCGCAAGGTAATACGGTGCTTCGAGAGTTCAAAAGATTTAAAACTTCCACGAAAATAGGAAACAAATTTATTAGAGAGCCTTGGAAGAAGTGTGTTTAGGCAAAATAATTTGTTCTTGTGAAAAAGGAATAGGCAGAAAGTGATTGTGAGACGCTTGGGAAGAAAAGTAGTAGTAATTTCTTTGGTACATAGTGAAAACTGAGATCATGTGCGAAGGATGTGATTAAGTTAAAATGGAGAGTCTAAATCCTCAGAATGACTATCTGTTACCGAACTTGTCTAAAGAGTGGAGTTTTCAAAAGACAATTTAATCTCTGAAAGTATCATATTACAGATATATGTATATTACATATCAAGCGACGATTTCGTGTAAATAAATTTTTTTTTGTTTAAATAGCGAAAGTGAATCCAATGTGATACCAGAGCATTGAGGTTTCATTAAAACAAATCTTAAGTTATTCACAAGTGAGATAAATTTCAGCTTCGGGTTTTTTACASCAATATTCAAAGAATTTCTGTATATATTTTCGTAGTAGAATATTACTCGTAATTTTGCAGGTCTCTTGCAGAAATGCGTTCTTAGATTATACTGCCTTTGTAAAATTCTTTTGTACCGTTGGTGATTTCGAATATTTAATATCCTTGAGCTTTATTCAAAGAAGTCTTGAATTAAGTATGCTCTCCCTCCGTTTGTTAGTGATTATGCAATGAACAAGGGCGTGGCTATATTCTTCTTGCAACACGCAATGAATTCTTACGCAATCGGTGTGTAGAAATAGCAACCGACCGAAGTACTTTCACGAGGTTATTTTTGTGTCCGACAATTAAGGATCTATGAAATTAAGACTGAATGAAAGTGAAAGGGGCCAATAAAAAACGCTTGCTAATTATAGCAGCCGTTATATGCGCTGATATTTCTAATATAATTTATGATATTTTTTTTTATAAAAGAAACTCAACAAAGTTTCATTTAATAAATTTCTTTACTTAATTTAGACTATTTTTAACAAAATTCAGTAATTTACTAAAAAATATTTAATCGATGTTGTAAAATGTTTTTGCTTTTTATTATAAAAAATGAAGCGGAAACATATTTAACTCAACTTTTCGCAAAAGAATTTTACTTATAATAAATATAGAAATCAACTTGTCGACCGATGTTTCAAATTTAACAAAAAAATCATACCTGGCAACTTTTTTGTCAACTCATACCTTTTTTTCACGAAAAGAAAACAAATAATTATTTCATTTATTCAAAATTCAAAACCGTGTGAAATTTTCAATTGAAAAAGTTTATTGCACTTCATTTCTATAGTTAAGCTTTTCGGATAAGCCTGTGCAAAATTATTGAAGTTGTAGGCATTTTGGAAGTAAAAAAAGAGATCGCAATTCCCACAATATGCATGTAAAATGCATGTGAAAAACTATTAAGACGATAAATTGCCATTATTTGCAGAACTCACTTAACTAACTGCCAAAATGTGTGACGATGATGCGGGTGCCTTGGTTATTGACAACGGGTCTGGTATGTGCAAGGCTGGCTTCGCCGGTGATGATGCGCCCCGTGCCGTATTCCCTTCGATTGTTGGCCGGCCACGCCACCAGGGTGTGATGGTGGGTATGGGTCAGAAAGATTCCTATGTGGGCGATGAGGCGCAGAGCAAACGAGGTATACTCACATTGAAATATCCCATTGAGCATGGCATCATCACAAATTGGGATGATATGGAGAAAATCTGGCATCATACGTTCTACAATGAATTGCGTGTGGCACCTGAAGAGCATCCAGTATTATTGACCGAAGCGCCCCTCAATCCCAAAGCCAATCGTGAAAAGATGACTCAAATCATGTTTGAGACATTCAACTCGCCCGCCATGTATGTGGCCATTCAGGCTGTGCTCTCCCTGTATGCTTCCGGTCGTACCACCGGTATTGTTTTGGACTCTGGTGATGGCGTTTCGCACACAGTACCCATCTATGAAGGTTTTGCCTTGCCGCATGCTATTCTGCGTCTTGACTTGGCCGGTCGCGATTTGACCGACTATTTGATGAAGATCCTCACCGAGCGCGGTTACTCATTCACCACCACTGCCGAGCGTGAAATCGTGAGGGATATTAAGGAGAAATTGTGCTATGTTGCTTTGGACTTTGAGCAGGAAATGGCTACTGCCGCTGCATCCACCTCTTTGGAGAAGTCGTATGAATTGCCTGATGGTCAAGTGATCACCATTGGTAATGAGCGTTTCCGTTGTCCAGAGGCGCTGTTCCAGCCCTCATTCTTGGGCATGGAATCGTGTGGCATTCATGAGACTGTCTACAATTCGATCATGAAGTGCGATGTCGATATCCGTAAGGATCTGTATGCCAACTCGGTGTTGTCTGGCGGTACCACCATGTATCCAGGTAATTTAATTGTTTCTACAAAAGAGCTAGAGATAAACAATAAAGCCTTTGCGCTGTTTTCAATTCAATCGATTTTTTTTTTTTTATATCATTACAGGTATTGCTGATCGTATGCAAAAGGAAATCACTGCCCTCGCACCATCTACCATCAAGATTAAGATCATTGCACCACCTGAGAGAAAATACTCCGTCTGGATTGGTGGTTCCATCTTGGCTTCTTTGTCCACTTTCCAGCAGATGTGGATCTCCAAGCAGGAATATGATGAATCCGGACCTGGCATTGTGCACCGCAAATGCTTCTAAATCTTTCGATCATGAAAGATTGCTGAATGCTTTAGCGCAAGAACACTCACACAAAACTAGAATTAACAGCAATAACAAAAACAACATACCCACGTTTAGAYACTTCGACTGCCAGCAAGACATCGTGCTGAAGGCGAATGTAATGACCAAAACTAAATTCATGGCGCAATCAAGAGCTTCAATTACAACAACACAAAAGGCATTAGTAACTACAAGAACCAAAAAAACGCTACAGTTACATAGGGAAAGCAACAACAGTAAATTTAAGCAAATCAATAAGCACACAACGAATGCTCAAATTAATGGCGCCAAAAATAGTGACATTAAACATCAAAACAAGAAGAAGAGCACACATAACGGATATCATAGGACAGTGCACATGTGCGCCATCTGTAGGCACTCTTTTTGCATTACATTGTGTTTGCACGTGAAATTTCAATTAAATTTCAATTTCCGGATTTTAAAAATAAAACTCGTGCAAAGCTGAAAATTTTTATTCACATGCCCTCACAAAGCAAAAAAATGTAAAACTAAAAAAAAAAAATATGAAACCAAAGTCACAAAAATTTAGAAATAAACAGCAAGTAAACACTTATTTACTTAATTAAAACGAACACCTTTCCATTGACTAACCAAAGCATGAAACATTATATAGAGCATATACAAAACGGAAGAAAACTAAATAAGAAAAAAACCAAAAAATATTTATAATTTATAAAAACCAAAGTGCTTTTCTATTTCATCTTTTTAAAATTATATTAAACTTAATTAAATGAACAACAAAATCTTTAAGTAAATTATTTGAAATTTATTTGAAATAAATAAGAAGCCACCGAATACAGTTTTCAGCGCAAATAGAATGGTATTTCAAATGGTAGATTTTATTACTTGCCGTTAGTTTTATTCTCAAATGAATTTATGAAAAATTTTGAGTATATACGAAGTGTTTAGATAATTTTTTAAAATCCTCCACCTTCCTTATTAGTAAATAAGCATACAAGGGGGATGTATGCTCAAAAGCTTTTCGCTCTCAAATTCCACACGCAAGTCTAAGCTTGCTTGATAAACAGAGAGGCCTCGAATAGATAAAAATATAATTCCATCGACTATGACCCGGAGTGTTTAAAAACATAGCTTTCATTAGTTTAAAGGCGAATATTCCGGATTCGTTAGCAGCAATAACTCAAAGGAAGSCGAAATTGCGAAATAAGAGAGCTATAAGTTAAATTTTATTCAGCTCTTTTGCTGAAGGCAGGGTCGAAACACTTTATATCCATTAAACCGAGCTATAAACGATATTAAGAGCTTTTGCACCTCTCTAATGGTGGCGTCTTGATCTTATCGTCCTCAGTATACTTTCAAGAGGATTTAACTTATGCGAATCGTTCCGTTAAAAAAACTGAAAATTTCCTTAGTTTTCAAATTTCAAAATTGTGTGTGTGTGTACGATTTTTCGAAATCCAAATAGACGAYACATCGTATATAAATCTCCTTGTTCCGCCAATGCCATCAAGCATAGCAAAATTGAATACAGAATTAACTTTGGAGTGCACACTTTTGTTCAAAACGTYTGTAAGATGCCGAATATATAAAACTAAATTGATATTTTTTTCAAATAAAATCGTCTTCACGGCTGAGCTAGTTACCTAGTAATTTTGATTGCAATGAAACAACGGTTTAGTGCTTTCATTTTCATTTTAGTGTTATTTCAGTGTATATTTATTTATTTCTAAGCTTTAAGTTTTAAATAAAACSTACAATTATTTACACAAATACATACACACATAATATGAATATTAAAGCAATTATATAATTTATATATTTTATATATGTGTATGATGCGCCATTCATTTATTGGCAACACTGCCTTCTAGTTTAGGGGTGTTTTATGGTTTTTAAGGATAATTAGCAAGTTGTAAAGACTTGCTTGGCACAAAGAGTGATATGACATTTTGTATGTATGTTTGTTGAGTTCGTGTATGTTGCTGGCAGTGAGGGCAGGTCTACCAAATATATGACAGCGCACCGTTATATGGCTGAAGGTTGCACTATAAACTAATATTTTGTGTTATTCACTTAATAATTGCATTTACCATTATTCAGAGAACGAAATTTAAGTTACTTCCAATTACTGTTAATTGTTTTAGTATTTATTTGAAAGTGGATTTATTTTCAATATTTTTACACTTCCACATTGTCATTTTTGGCACGCCACAGGCGTTGCTACACACTAATGCCGCGATCTCTAATTATCGTGCTTGTTGTAACTAGAGTCATTGTATCGAACCTGCGATCAATGGATTTGGCGACCTTCACTCAAATTTTGACACCGAAGAAGCCAAATTTTAAAATTCCTAATGAAATGTGAAATGTGTTCAATGTAAATAAGTTTAGCCAACATTTTGTTATTTGTTCTTTTTGTTTTTGTTTGTTTATGCCCACTAAAATTGTATTCCCTTCTCGTAGTTGGCATTAATTTTTTACATTTATGAGTATTTTTGTTTATTTCTAAAATACATTTACAAAAGTTATTTATTAATTCATGATCGTTTGGTATGAATGGGCACTTGTTGAGAATATTTAGAAAGTTTAATTCTAGAAATGCCAAAAGTATGCGTGTAAATAGTATATTTGTTTTTCTAAATATTTATACATAAGTGTACAAGCATGGCAGTATAGTATATAAGTTAATGTGCGCAAGTGGCACATCTCTCCTTGCATATACTGGCCCTTATCGTTTCGTACGCACGTCTACTTTCACAGAAAATAGCGTTTGCACATAAGTTTATAAACTCTATGATCTATTTAATGTTTTTTTTTTTTTTTGGTTGTTTTTTGTTTTTGGAAGTAAAATATTTGTATAATTATAAGCACCATTTTTACGTATTTTAATTAAACTTTTAAATTACAGTAAAAACTTATATAGTTTGTGACCTAGTACTAAACTACATTTATATAATATTCGAGTCAAATGTTCTGACTTTAAAGCAACTGCTTGGAAGGAGTTTAAAAAGAAAACGAACAAACGAACAAWTTTCAACTCATATGTTGTAATAGGCTATTTTGATTTTAATAAAAACTAGATTTGTGTAATAAAAAAGGTAAACTGTTTTTTGAAAGAGAGACAGGCGTGCCTGCCAAAAGTTCATGCCTTTGTTATTTATAAAAAATACTACATATTCATACTATTGTGAGATATGTGCGTAATTAACAAAAACTTATTTGTTGTTGTTTCTTTATGAGTTAAAACGTTTTCAGCTCCAACGCAAGCAGCAACTAAATGCAAATGAGTTATGAAATATATGGCTCATTACGTYGATATACATACATACATATCTACAGATATTTTTTACAATTCAATTCTTTTTAATTTTAGCTTTGAGTGAGTTTGTTAAAAATTCTTAAATATTTGTGTTGTTTTGCYCAAAAAATTCTTCCTGATTTCATGAATATACTGTGCAATTCRTTATATGTGTGTTTTATTTTTTTGCGTTAATGCGTGAACAAATTTAAGCGTGATTTTAAACTGGTTAAACGTGGTTATATAAGTAATTCGACTTTTGCGAAGTCCATTCGTGTATTTCGAAAGCTTTTACGGATTTTAAATACGACTATTGCATTATTAAGAAATCGGTATGACACACACACGGTGCCTTTGAAATATGTAAAATTCAGCGATTCTTTGACTTAACACTACTTTTCCTTTTCAAAATAAATACTTTTTCTTTTTCGTTCACTCACCATCGAACATAAAGCTATCGCATAAATATAAAATAGTTACATATATTGTAAACTGTACTTACATGCATACATATTTACCTAATATATATTATTACATACATTTGCTTCAATTTTCAACAAAGGGTTACAATTTATGGAAATAGCAAACTCTTATCTCTTCCGAATTGTCAACACATTATACTACATATATCTCYACGAATATAGTAAAATATTTCATTTTAAATTTTGTTGCCAAATTTCATTTTGTTAATTAATACTTTTCCAAATGGATAAAATTTTTCCCAATCAAGTTTTGTGCCAGAATAAACTGAAAGAATGAACAATATTACATACATATATTTTACGCTCGTATTGGTATATACCACAATTGGCAAAAGCTGAGAATTTATGCGTTTTATTTTTATTTTTAGTTTTGTGGGTTGCAACGAAATTTTGGTTTTTTCGCATAAATTATTCAGTGATCGTTTGTATTGCTAGTTTTTTGTGTGAGTTTGTTGCTGGCAGTTTACAATATCGGCTGAACACCAGCCGTTTTGAGCGCTTTGAGATCTACTGATCTACTTCTGTTCTAAAACGTCTAAAAATTCGCTAGCAGTAGTTGGACTCGTTCATTGCCTGCTCKTCGACTAGGTGTTCGTCCACTTCAACAATATTAAAAGTACTTTGTGTTTGTTTCTCCTGTGTTTCTGTATAATTTTGGTCTATTGCCTTCGCCTTTGTAGTCGCTGCTGGGTTTGTGTTGGCTTAAGAGTGGGCGATGACATCGTCGAGTCATTCTATGGCACATAAAATTTTGCTTATCCATTGTCAGTCTGCATGCTCACGACACGCCTGCGACCATAACTACCGATGCCACGCCCACAAAACTGGTGGTGTGAAGACCACGAACCAAACGGTTTTGTGAGCCTATTTAGAGGTTGAATGTTTGGGTAGAATGAACAAGGCGTTAGTTTGAAAAAGGGTTATATAAAGTATGTATATTAACATTTTACCCAACAAAAAGTTGTATCCACACTAAGGTTGTTTCAACCGATGTGCGATCATACATCTAGGTACAGACCGGCATGCGAAAGTTGGCAACGTCCACAATAGCCACCGCAGAAAGCGCGACGTGAAACSGTAGAGGTGTCGAACTGGAATTTGTATGCAAATTTAAAGAATTGTTGAGGTGTTTTTCTTAGGTGTAAAGTTATGTATAAAATAATTTTGTCAACACTTAGAGGTAAGCACGATTGACAATAGAGCTTTCACTTACCGGTATAGATACCTTCATAATTACACTGTGACCAAAAGTGTCCCAACGCGCGCCGGCTCGTATGTGGAAACCGGTTTTTTCCAAGTTTATCGAAAAGTCGCCTTGCGGACATTCCTTGTTACGATTGTAACAATCGCCTGCGGAACCAAACAATTGTGGAGTACCGACTGTTTCCGCAAACGTAAAATCATTTTCGATTACACGTAAGTCTGGCAGATTTAYACGTATCTTACGGAAGTTCGTACGTCCCGAACTGGTGCTGTTATCACGAAATTCTCGATTTCTCGACTCGGGTGGACATTTGTTCGGCTCGGAAGTTTTATAATCATAGTAAATGGAATAGTTTTCAAGATGATTAACGGTTAAATATTCTTTCGGTGAGCTACTCATGTTATGACAGTAGACTCGACGTGCGCGTGAACGCACATATATGGTATATTCATCGTCCTGATAGTTGCGAAGTAGGCGGCGCACGTCCTCACAAGACTGCGGCATACATTCACGTGGAGGGGGACATTTCTCCTTAATCAATCGCTCTTTTGTGGGGCAGACAATACGTCGTCCCGTCGAATCGTAGCAAATGATGCGACGACGTCGGAAGCCATCACAATTGCACTGGACGTGACGTAATGTAGGAAKAGATAGAGAGAGTTACAATTAGATTCCTAAAGTTACATTAGCGGATACTTACAGGAGTTATAATTTTCGACTCCTTTCGAACACAATTGTTGCAGATCTTCTTCGATGGGGGCTTCTTCAGCGCATCACAGTAGCGATATGCAATCGGATTGCCCAACACTGACTCACAATAAACAGAACGTGATTGATATTCTTCATGACAGTCGGCGGGACACTGCGTCCAGTCGGAAGTGTTCCATTTACAGCTGATCTTGCAGGGCTTATGCATACGCTTCGGCGTTGGCTTGCGCAAATGACGACAGTGGTATGGATCTATGATGACGCGTCGTCGCGGTGTTCCTTTAATCTCCGGTTTGTATACACGTGCGCAATGAATCTCTTTCTGGCGCACACCATTACCACATTCAACGGAGCACTGCACGATTAAGAACAAGTAAATAAGTAGTTTGTGGATGAGTAGAATATGTGCAGAACTTACATTCGACCAATTGGACACATATTTGATGTTGCAACATTTACGCTTCGATAAGGGTCGTCGCTCTTTCGGACAGCCATAACCCATTGGATTTCGGCATGTAACTGTACGATTCTTTTCACAATTATCGTCACATGCACCCCACTCATCGGCGAACCAATAACTGGCATATGAGCGCTGTGTAGCCTATACATAATAGTTAACAAGTTATATAATAAAAGCGTRACTTCCTTTTTTGGCAATAGCGACGGCAACTTACCAAATTGTCTTCGTACGAATAACACGGCTCCGTTTTACAAGCTCTTATTGTATCGCGGAAAGAATCACGCTTACGCTGATCACAGAAACTATCACTCACGCGCGTACCATTTAGCATGCAACCCACACCACGCGTCTGTGTGCCGGTACCACAAGACTTGGAGCACTATGATATCATATAAATGATGTTTACTTGCTTCATGAGTCTTCTAATTTACCAACTTACCGGCGTCCACTCGGTATAGTCCCAACAGCCCTCACGACACGACTCGTGTGGACTAAATTCGAACTTCGAGAGGCAATACGATAAGTCCACGATATTGGAGCGGCTGATATGTGGGAATGTTTGTATGCAATAGTAAGTTTTCTCACGCGTGCCCAACATGCCACACGAAGCTGAGCACTCCGAAATGTTTGCCACGTTCAGCGAAAGCACACAATCCGTGTTACATTGGCGATATTCAGTTGGCGGCTTTGCTGTCTCATCGCATAATTGTGGCGCCACTTTCAATGCTTTCGTKGTGCTCACACAAACCGGCAAACGATGTGAGCTGCCATGGCATAGTGCATCACAATTACTCCAGGGTTGCCTTTCCCAATTATAGATCTCAACTTCTATTTCGGGCAATTGATGGAGCGGCTTATCCATGGTATACGTGTAGCTGAGTAACAATGAGTCGTTGTCCTTCGGTGCACTTTTGCTTATGGAAATTATCTGTAAGGCAACAAAGCGATTTTATTAATACACTCGTGTTTACAAGCCATTCCGTTGAAAGCTCACCTCTACAACCAAATCACGTTTCATTTTACGTGCCACAGTGGTGTTGATATGCTCGACTAAATTTTCGGCGCCATTATATTCGATGGTTACGCCTGCATAGAATTTTATATTATGATAGCTGGTGATGACATTCTTCCCATTGAGTATGTAATTGCCCTCATCGTCACGCAGTGCAATGAAGTTCTCAGCGTGATAACCGGGTTGAGTAATGACTATGTTTGAGGCGCCTGTAAAGGTAGAAAACAAATAACAAMAGTGAGTTCAAAATACATAACAACAACAGTTTGCTCTAATCGAAACTATTTGAATAAAATTTGCTTTTTGTTTTACAAATAAAAAAGGTTAATTACAATCACCATTACTGAATTTTGTTAACTGAAGTTGATAGTCWAAAATATATGGAGCTTTCTTCTGTCAAAAGCAACCCGAGGCGAAAATTACATGTATGAAAGTATAAAAAAGTAAAATCTGCGAATAATTCTATTCCTCTTTTTCACATTTCAGTTCCGAGCTATATACATTTATCGCTGCTTAAGGTTAGCAATTTTTGCTACTCACAGAATTTAATTAAAAATCTCCTAAATAATGGCCAATAAAAGTAATAAGGATGAAAAGGTTATACCCGAAGCACCAAAGCATTTGTATGCAAAGAAATCCATCGACAGCATATTCCCTACCTTAAGGGGTTAGGGGTAGACAGCATTTTCAATTTTTTTTCTTTACATTTTCGTTAAGTGTAATATTTTAAAAATATTCTCTGAAAATTTCACGTTGTTCCCATAATTGGTTTTTGAGTTATTCGACAAAAAATAAAGAGATCTCGGGCACTTCAAAGCGCTAGTGTGAAACTTTAAACGCGTTTTTCTCAAAACTATGTTTTTTGAATTGGGGCAGCTGTAACTCGAAAACCGCTCAGTAGAAATGTAATGAAATTTATACAGCTTTTAGAATACATAATACACTAGGGCCTGATCGAAGGA